AAATAGTTAATAAATATTAATGTGGAGTAAACTCTAAATATTTAAAATTTAAAATCGAGTTAAAATTAAATCCACTATCAAAGAAGTCCCTCAAAAGTTAATAACATCATACTGTGTATATTTAATTCTATAATATTATAATACTTTTATATTATCTTATAATTTGTGTGAAGTTCTATAAATAATATTTCTACTTTGATTATATATATTAAGTCTAGTTATAATATAAATATATTTATACCATCATAAAAATTTTACATAAAATATTATTTCCAAAAAGAAATAAAATTTACAAATATAATACTTCTAGTGATGGTGGTTCATAAGTTTTAGACATAGCGTGTTGATTAGAAATTGCTACACATTAGCATTTGTTTTTTTAAGGTATCTAGGTAGTGGACATGGAATAGAGGTAATAAAAATGGGGTTTACAACATGACAAAATGTAGAAATATTGTAAGCAAGTACTAAAAAACAAATTTTTATATTCATAATTAATAATTTAAAATTTATCTAGTAAAAGTTTTTTACTTCAACATCAGATATAGGATTTTCTTTTGAGAACATGGAAGAAAATTTAAAATATATTAGTACAAATATTATAAATTATTATTTTTTACTATTTAAACAAATATTTAGTTATATATAAATTTTTTATCTATATGTTCTTTTTAAAGTTTTTATTTGTTTTTATTTGTATTTATTTTTATTTTTTAAATTTTTTTAATTTACATTATATGTATATAATGGTATATTATTTTTATGGAACTATATTATTGATGTCTATTATAATATATTAGACCTAAATTTATGTTTATTTTCTATTCTTTAAAATTTCGGTTTCAGCGTTCTAATTTTTAAAATAGGATAATGACGAAGTACAGAGGATAAAATGCACTAATAACATTTTATTCACAAATTATATTTTTGATACAACAATGTAAATATAAAATAAAATAACTTCATGTTTCATTATATAATGATTAATTTCTATAAAAAATTCAATAATGTACTATATAAAAAATGTAATAATGATCTAATACTAAAGCATATTCTGGTTGGAAAGGTTTTTGAGGTGTATTAATATTTTATATTTTTTTAAAAAAATTATACTCTATCTTTTCCAGAGGATCTTGCAAATATAACACATAATTGTGCTCTATTTTGAAACAATTAACTTCTGTATGTCATTTAAACTTAATTTAGCCTTATGAAAAAACTGGATATTTTAGTCATGCTTAGGTAACAACTCTCAGGGATTGACATAATACAATTGCAGAGAAAATCTAGAGAAATAACAAAATATTTATATAAAATATTTGTCAGTATTTTAACTAAAGATTAAAACTATGTAAAGATGCTGAAAAATTAAATAATATTATGAGCAAGAAGATCAATAGAAAATATATAAGAGGTAGATATGTTTTGAGATATTACTATGAAATGGATTTCATATTTGTATGTATATGAGATAGTTTATACTTATTAGATACCAAGAACCATTCTCTATTTCCATGATTTTTAATATAAATATGGTAGCAATTTGTATAAACTTACTTAGTGAGTTTAATAATAATGCAGAGCTCAAGTAGTGAATTTGAATATTAAAATATAAGAATTTCATATTAGGCTTGTAGAAGGTTATTAGTTCAGAACCAGATAATGGATTGTGTATTTGAAGCAAGAAATCAAATATAAAGATGTTCCTACTCTTTTGAAATACATAATAGTATTAATATTAAATTTTTTTATATCTCCAGGTGGATGGTAAACTAGAGCTTTGATATTTTACTTTATCTTTCCTCATCTTCCATGATTTGTCATGGCACAGTATTATTTCTACATTGGCACAATTAGCCTTTAAGATTATTTATCTATTATATAAAAATAAAAGCCTGTCAATACACTAGCAAAAAAGTAAAAAAGAAGCACCAGCAGCTTTTTAGATCCTTTATACATACCCAAATAAAACAAAACTTTTGGCACAAGTAATAGCAAATAAGGGATAGTTTTTCTTTCATGTATATAAAATGTATAAAGAATTTGGTGGTTCTCACTCACCATATAACTATAGTTTGAATATTGCTTTTAGAGTATTGCATAATTAAAAATTTTATAGAAAAATTACATTATCTTTATATGTTGCAAGTAACTATTCTACATTTCTTAGGTTTGGTCAATTTATAATTTCTCAATATGTCTAGAACTATTCTCTATTGCCAGTTTATGAGGTTTAATATAAATGTAATAGAAATCTGGATAAATTTACTTATGTATATTTTTAAATGCAAAACGAGATACATAATAGAAATTCTATTATTCTTTAGTAAACTTTAGTAAACTTTATTAAAGATAGTACACCAGTTGAAAGGTGTACTATCTCGGAGTGATGGGCCCAATGCCTCCTTGATGTATATGGCTATGGAAGATGGACCAGGAGCTTGAGCAGGGTTCCCCAGAAAGGGTGATTATTGGTACAATTCGTCCTTGGGATAAGGACTTTGTTGGGGGGGGAGAATTGTTAGGCACCAGTTTTGACCACGTGGTCAACATCGGTCAAAGGGAGGCTCAAGAGTATATTAAGGCATGTTAGGGTAAAGGACTTAACCTACCCTAGTGACAGCACAGTGGAGCTTTTGAGGTAGCCTGGGGGTGGTTGGGTGGTGAGGAACCTTGGAAAGAAGGTGACTCCTAGCTAGCCATGAACATAGCACAAACTCCAACACCTAGTAAGAGCCACAGACGGTAGCTGAGAACTTGATGGCTGGTTTATCCACCCAGGTGCAAATGGAGGTGCGGCAAAAGAAGGACTATCACCACTCTTAGCCACAACTAGCTATGGCCTTTTGGGCCAACACAAGAATGCTGAAGAGTTATGCAGTAGTGCTAGAGATTTTTTAGTGCCTAGGATAACTCTTGGAGAGGCCATCAAGATCATGCAATTGTCAGCTCCAATCCCAATCAATCTGCCATGCCTCAAGAGACAAGGATGTATTGGCAAGATGCCACTGCTAAGAAGGAAGTAGTCTGAGATGTAAGTTGAATCCACATCCCTCTACTGGTATAGTTATCTGTTTAGAGTATTAGGGGTTACAAATGTTCCTTTTACTGGTTGATTGTGCTATATTACATGGTTTATGTGTTTCTTCTTTTTTTTTTCTAGGATTGTGCTATGTTTTTCATGGGAATTACAAGGCATACAAGAGCTGAGCACCTGGCTCTTGCTCAACATCATCGCGATGGAGGATGCTGAGCACATGTGCTGCCACAGGCTGTTTCTGGGCATCTACTATGTAGCACGAGGTTGAGATGCATCTCATACCGCTGCTCCAAAGGTGTTCTTGCATCTGAATTCAGGTAGAAAGCCTTGTCTCTAACTCTTTTGAGATCCCGGAGGATAGATTTTATGTTGCCAAGGGACAAATGATCCTGTAGATCGAAAGGGTAATATTGCATTCTTGGAGGTGGAATTAAAGGTGGTGTTTGTTCGGCTGGTCTAAATGAATTTTCAGGTTGGTAACTGGACAGAAAGCCTGGCCCATGGTTGCAGAAACATGTTTTGTGGAGGTTCCGGCAATCCACCCATTGGAAAGTTCAGTGCTGCAATTTGTGAATGAGTACTGCATGCAAGTAATGAATATGAATCCTGTTTCTTGGGTTGAAATATTCCCTTTCTCCATGGACTGTTGTAGAACAGAAGTAGAACCACATCACTTTTTCATAGACTCCTTTCACAATCTTTCAATGTGCTGCATGTCATACCTAAAGAAAGACATAAAAGTTAACATGTGTTGTGCCGTGTTGTGCCATGAACGCCCAGTGCTCCCATCAGGTATTGTTCATATCAGCCTGTATGCCGTTAAAATCCGGTGTAAAATCAGAACACATCTTGTAACATTTCAAAATTTTGTTGTGGAACCAAAACCCTGGAATAAAATACAAGCACCAACTTCCTCCAACTTCCAACCCAATATTCAGATGTCCTTCTTGCCCAATATCCTCTCCATCTATCTGCCACAAAAAAAGCTCCTAAGACACTCATATACAGGAAAAATCTGCATACACCTCTAGTCACTGCCATAGTCACCACAGCCTCCTTCCCTTGCTTGTTGCAGCCCCACAATCCTTGGCCCTCACTGGAGCTGCTCTCGACACCACTGCTCTCTTAGAAGATATAACCCGCATGAAAACATCAACTCGAACATTTCACGACTCAGGAAGGAGGTGAGCAAGAAGGATGTAAAGACTGCAATGGGCACCCTGGTTGAGCCAAACAAAAACGAGGCACTGGCAGTGGATGCTCGGTATAAGATCGATTTGGTTGGAGTGGCATTTACTCGCTTCCAGAGGCGTTTCTTTCATGACAACCCAGAATTGAGCATCATCAGATATGTCTCATTGATTCATGACAGTTTTGGACTCCAACTCTTAGTTTTTGCGTGGAGCATCACACTAAGCCATTATGCATTTGGCATCAGCGCTTGAGGGTTTTTGAGCAGGCTAAGGGTACCATAGACAGCTATAACAACCTCTTGCCACAAGCCACAAATAACATTTTCTAAAACGGAAGAGGTTAAAATATAGGCAGCTATAGCCTTGGTGTGATCTCGCTTGAGGCACTGTCTAGAGTTTAGGTGCCACCTTAAGTTTGCTATCTTCTACTTTAAATTGCTCCTAATCATGACTAGCCTTTCTTTCACAGTCTATCTAGCGAAAAGATAAAAGGATAAAGCATCAGAAAGCAGAAATCTTCTCAGTCTTGCTGAAATGAGCAACTTTACAAGGTAGCTTTTCATTGCATGGATTTCAAGGTATCCGTACCTGGTTGAGCGAAGGCAAAATAGGCTTGATTCCAAGCAAATTTTTTGTGAGGCTGCTCCAAACAGTTGGCCATCCAAGCAGCCTCGATGTCTCAGTGGATGTGAGCAGCGATGAAGCCGTAGATTGCATAGGCCTGTACTACGAATAACTATAAGAGCGGAAAAACTAAAAAGAAAAGCTTACGCTGGGCCGGTAGAATATGCTCGCTCAAACATGCCAAGAATATGCTCCATCTTGGGTCGTTCTTGGGGATTTGTCCTTGTGCAATCTAATGCAATTTTAGTACACAGGACAATTTGATCATGGGACGCGCCATTTAGTATAGCTGGGTCGAGCACAGACTGGATATTATCGGGAAATGCTCTGTCCATGATTCCTTGAAGCCCTCCTTTCACACCATTTTTCACTGGACCAGCCGCTTCTGTTCCTGTCAAGAGCTCCATAAGCAAAGTTCCAAAGCTGAAAACTTCGCCTTCCGGGGTAGGCTCATTTGTTATCGAATACTCTGCTCCACCCTTGAAATGCAAGGCCAAAATTATAAGTGAGAAACAAGTCATAAAAAAGAAATCACATTTTTCACCCGGAGGATGATATCCGGTTGACCTTCCAATGTTGGTCTCTAGGCTAGTGAAATGTTTGCTGGCGTTCTTTGAGCGGATATCAGCAATGCGTGCGTTGAACTTGTCATCGAGCAAAACACTGCTGCCATTGAGATCGCAATGCATTTGAGGTTCTTTCCACTCCCCATGCAAGTACGCTAATCCCTGAGCTACTCCAGCAGCAATATCCATTCTCGAACTCCATGACAAGCTGGAAATGCCTGCTCTTTCCTTGTGTAGGTGCATCTCCAAGCTTCCATTGGACATATGCTCGTATACCAAAACCTTGAGCTTCGGGGTAGAGCACGCTCCAAGGTACTTAACAACGTTGGGATGACTCATGGCCTTGAGGAACTTGCGTTCCTCTTCAAAAAGTTTCCCCTCGCCGTTATAATACTCTGGACGGACCCTCTTAACAGCCACTGTCTTACCATTGAAAAAGACTCCCTTGTAAATTGTCCACAAGCCTCCCACACTGAGAATCTTGTTGTTGTTGAAATTATCAGTGATCCTCCTGATGGTTCGCAGCGAATACTCGTCCGGAGGTTTCACGACGTGCAAGATTCCTGTAAGCACCGAAAGTATGAGAGCTGGAAGAAAGATACCCATCACAATTTTCTTCCACAAGCCCGAAGGACTACACTCTTTACCCAGTACTGATCCACAAAGTCCATCATTCCCGGGGAAAAACGCTGTCATGGCAAACAATCGCATGGTTTGCGTGTCTGGGACTTTACCAGAAAGTGAGTTGTTCATGAGCCTTAGCTTCTTGATTTGTGTTGCTATGGTGAGGGAGTAAGGAATGTTGCCGGTCAGTTTATTGTCTGAAAGGTCGAGCCAGCGAAGGTTTGGTAAGTATCCAATGTTTTCGGGTATCCGACTGACGAGCTTGTTTTCTGCCAAGTTTAAATAACTAATGTTGTTCAGCAACGCACCGTAGGTAACCGGAATGGATCCCCTAAAACTGTTGCCCGAAAGGTCGAGGTGATTTAACCAGGTTATGTTGAGCCAGCCGAGCGAGCCACTGAGGAGGTTATTTGCGAGGCTGTAATACCTTACGTAACGCAGCCTACCAACATCGGGAGGCATGCCTCCTGCCAGGAAATCGTTAGATCAGCGTGTTGCAAATGCTCTTTACCAGTAAGCAAGTTGTTGCTGAGATCAAGATACTTGAGATTTGGCATTCTGCCAAAGCCTCTGGGAATAGGCCCCATAAACTCATTGTTACTAAGGTTGAATCCCCAAGCGAGTGTTATGTTGCCAAGAACTGCAGGCACAATTCCTCGCAGCTGGCACCCCGAAATATCCACGTACTTGATTCTGTAGAGGTTTCTATCGCATTCAACGCCCTTGAAGTTACAGGCATGCTCGCCTACTACGCCGGTGACATGCCAGCTGGCGAAAATATTAAGTGGATCATACCAGACTGTGGCTCTAAATGCAACGAGTGCCTGGGCGTCCTTAAGACTGTATCCATCAATTCTTGACATCGCGACTTGGATCGCTGTGAGAAATCCCAATAATATCAGTGCAGCACTGGGCCCCATAGCAAACCCTTGGTAGCTCCAGGAAATCCTATCTGACTAGCCAATAAAAATGTAATACGTGGCAGCTTGTAATAATGTCCTACTTTTTGGATTGAGATTTCTAGCCACGGTAAGGTTGACCCGTAAGATGGTTTTAAGCTGTTGATATGGAGGCGCCGAGGGAAATCATCTGGAGATTAGGTTGCGTGGCAGCAAAACCGTTTCATCCATGGCGCGCCGTCCAATATGGAAGTTTCCGTCAGCTATCTCTTCCTTCAATTTCGGGAAGCGAGGAAAAGCGTCTTTTCTTTATAAGCTTTGTTGAAAATGGCTGCAATTGTCACTTCGGACAGCGGCAAGCATATGAATGCAAAAGACCTTGACATTCTGGAGAAACGGAGGCTGGCCAGTAGAACGTTTGGATTTGTGCGCCATACCGTGTATAGAACGAAGGAGCTTGTGGAACCGCCTCGAGAATGCACTCATTATGCTCCGGATGAGTGCAGGTTGGACAGAGACTTTGACTCATTGCTTCGAGCTGAACATAACGCGAGAAAAGTGAAGCAAGAGGTAATAAAGGATTGGAAGGTTCGGAAATTTTCCTTCAGAAATTTTCCTTCAGAAACAAAGGGTTTTTCGTGGAGCTCATCAAGCGTACAGAGATGAAAAAGTATACGAGGAAAGAGAGAAGCAATGGGAGACAAAGCTGAGGAGCGATTATTTTTTAAGGATCAAGGAAAAGCATCCGAACAAGGGAGGGGCGCCTTACAACTTTATTAGCATGGAATATGATGATGGTTACGAAGGCCAAAAGCTCAAATACTTGGAAGAAATGGCAACGTGCGAGTTTGAAAAGCATCTCGACGGTATCTTAATTTTCATTCGCCTCATGCGCAGGTGGAGAGCAGGATTGAGGAGGCTGAGGATCCAGAGCAAAATGTCAGGCACAAGAAATCTAAATGTTATCAACTGGCAGAAGGAGCAACAGATGAATATACCAGCTAAGCCTCAGCCATTCCTGGTGCGTAGTCCTCCAAGGCCCTGTACTGCTCCGCCGGAGCCGCCCAAGATGCCCGTTGTTGCCATTGAAGCAGCCCGGCCAATTTCAGCCCTTCCGCCAAAAAAATCAGATGCGTCTGAGGACTACCACTGGGAACTCTATCATTATGTTCACAAACCATATAAGTTTAAGTGAAACAAACACTATATAGTGGTGCTATTCAAATGATTCTGTGGTGAGAGAGTCATTCCACCATAAAAATATTGATTAATAAATTCCTTCCAGTTTTAGTGATTTTCTAGATCCTTCTTCCAGTGTTTGTGAAACAACCAACCCGACCCAACATGAAGCAAGGCTAAGTGGGCAACCACTGGGGAGTAGCTGAACCATGGGGAAGTTGCAGTACCTCATGGGCATCCATGTGTCACCAAGTGACACGTGGCCAGTCCGAGGAGCTTGACGGACTATCCTCCCTATACAGGAAGATATCATATGCCTGGGGTCAAGCTAATGCAAGCCGAGCCCTGGGAGGATCCTGAACGTACTGAGCAGACGTATTTTGCCAAAGGCTTGCCTCACAAGTAGGAGGCTGCATTTCAGCTGAGGTGGGATAGACCCATCTCAGTGCTATACTTATCTTTATTCCATCCCTTCAGTATCAAGTGTTTATGGGAGTGTCTCATGGGTGTCTCTACCACAAAGACGCGAGTGCATGACAACTGTTAGTGCTATGTACATGGTTGGGAGGATGGGTGAGTTACCAAGGCTGCCCATCTGTGGTGATTCTACTACACGAGGCAATGCTCCTACTCACTTTAGGCTTTACACGTGGTCTCCGGTTTTCCTGTGCCCTCTTGAATGGAGTAGTGCAAACAAATCACCTCCAATGTTAGTCGCTACCACACTGCAATGATTGCTGAGATCCTCACTTGTTTTCCCTCAAAGTGGTTCTGATTGCAAGCTTCCCACAGCACTTGCACCCCCATCACTCTCCATGTTGCCCAGCAATCGTACAACAGTAAGAGGCTGGTAAGCTAGGGCCATATAGCGTGGCAAAATTATAGCTGAAGCAGAGGTCGGTGTAGCTGTTGGAGGCAGTGTCAAGAAGGTGGAGGGCCCAGACTCAGGCTTATAGGCCTCGGAGATAAAAATCAAGAGGACATTTGTCAAACCCAAGGGCAGCAAGTGGTTTAACTTGGAGTTGGAGGCTTTAACACTGTTATGATCCGGTGCAAAAAGACAAAGATCTAGTTGCCCTAGACTATGCTATGCCACCTTTTGAGGTTCCTCACCACCCAACCACCCCCGAGCTACCTTAAAAGCTCCATTGTGCCGCCGCTCCTTTGTGAGCCCTAGGGTAGGTTAAGTCCCTTACCCTAACATGCCTTAATATACCCTTGAGCCTCCCTTTAACCAACATTGACCATGTAGTCAAAGTTGCCACCTAACAATTCTTCCCCCTCAACAAAGTCCTTGTCCCAAGGATGAGTTGTACCGGTGATCACCCTTTCTGGGGAACCCTGCTCAAGCTCCTGGTCCATATACATCAAGGAGGCATTGGGCCTGTCACTCCGAGATAGTACACCTTTCAACTAGCTGACATAAAATACCAGATGAATTTTCACCCCAGCTGGCAGCTGCACCCTATAAAATGCTTTACCAATGCGCTCCAGCACTTCATATGGACCAGCATATCGATAGGAAAGTTTATCACTCTTCCCTGTCCGTAAAGGCACCAAGGTGTTCTGTCGCTCACTTGATGAAAAGATCACGTGCACAAAGACGAGATCACCCACCTTATATTCCCGGAATTGGCGATGCTTATTGGCAAACTTCTCTGCTCTATCCTGAGCTGCTTGCAAATTCACCACCAGAATCTCATCAAGTTTTGTGGCCAGATCAGTCACCTCGGAATCAAACTTATCTTGAATGTCCTTACTCAAATGCAATCCCAACTCCATTGCTGTTCAAGGATGCCTTCCAAACATGGCAAAGTAAGGACTTAGCTTGGTTCCACTATGTTGGTTATTGTTGTAAGCAAATTGCACCAACGGAAGATATAAATCCCATTGTCCTTGCCTTTGACCAATGCTACAACGTAGAATATCCTCCACCACCTGATTCACATGCTCGGTTTGCCCATCCATCTGAGGATGATCTCCACTTAAGAGTTTCAAAGTCACTTGTGTAGCCTTTGCAAAGCTTTTTCAAAATCCACCGGTGAACTTTGAATCTTGATCACTAATGATGTCCTCTAGCGAACCAAAATTAGGAAAAACCTTCTCCAAGTAAACCGCAGCCAAGTCTGAGGTAGTGACAGTCTTCTGAAGAGCCAACAACCGCACATACTTCGTCAACTGATCCACTATGACCCATACTTGCTCCTTGTGTCTTTGTGCTCATGGCAAACAAGTGATGAAGTCCATAGAGATACTACACCAACGGCTCTGAGAATAGGTAAAGGTTGCAAAAGTCCCCCCGGCTTCTCCTGTGGCACCTTAACTCGCTGACAAAGCTCGCATGATTTACAATACTTGAGGATATCAGCCTTCATATTCCTCCAATAAAAGTTGCGCTTAATCAACTCATACGTCTTTTTCCCCCCAAAATGATTGGCTTCTAGATGATCATGATAATGGAATAAAACTTGAGTAATTAACGCATCCACCTGTGGCAAATATACATGGCCATTGTAGTAGACAATCCCATCCACCAATGAGAAAGGAGCTTCCACCTGGTCTCACAAAGAGGCCACCTCAGCATCCTAAGCTAGAGTATGCTCAACCAACTGCCCAAACTCGCTGACCACCTTACTCAAATGATGACAAAATCGTGTTTGTAACGTCGTCACATGACAAACACGAGATAAAGCATCTGCCATCACATTTTATTTTCCTAGATAATGCTCAATAGGAAACTCCCCAAACTCCATGAGTTTAACCATCCAACGAGCTTGCCTAGTGTTCAACTCCTTATGTGTGAAAAGATACACAAGTGGTTTGTGAGCTGTCAACACCACGAACACTGCACCATAAAGATAGTGCCGCCACATCCGCAAAGCATAAACAATAGAGAGTAACTTTTGCTCATATGTGGAATAACGTTGCTCTGCGGAATTCAAAGTTCGATTCTCATATGCAATAGGGTGTCCCTCTTGCATGAGAACTCCTCCCAGTGCATAACCACTCGCATTGCATGTCACCTCGTAAGGTTTCAATGGATCAGCAGTGTGAAGTACTAGAGTCTCACTCAACAATCATTTCAGCGCCACAAAACTCTCCTCTTGTGGCTTCTTCCACTCGAATGGCACATTCTTGTGTAACAACCGCGTCAAAGGAATAGCCACCTTGGCAAACTTATGCTGGAAACGTCGATAGTAACTAGCCAAACCAAGAAAACTGCACAACTCGGCCACTGTAGTCAGTGTAGGCTAGTTTTCCACCACAGCCACCTTCTTTGGATCCGTCTTGACACCTTTAGATGTCACAATATGGCCTAAATATTCTACCTTCGACTTTGCAAATTCACATTAGCTCTTCTTCGCATAAAGTTTGTTGTCTCGAAGTAACAAAAGAACCTTGTGCAAATGCACCCTATGCTCCTCCATATTCTTGCTAAAAACAAGAATATTGTCCAAGAAAATCTCTACAAACTCATGAAGATAACGCCCAAACACCTCCGAGTAAACCATTAACCGAGTAAATGTGGCCAGTGCATTTGTCAAACCAAACAGCATAACTGTAAACTCAAAATGTCCAAAGTTTGTGTTAAATGCTGTTTTGGAGATAGATGCATCATCCATTGCAATCTGATGATATCCACTCCTCAGATCAATCTTGGTAAACACTCGTGCTTCACCAAGCTTGTCCAGGATATCATCCACACGTGGCATCGGCATCTTATCCTTCACTGTCTTTTTGTTTAAAGCGCGGTAGTCAATACACATCCGGATTGAACCGTCCTT